ACCCACCACCACATCTGGCTACTTTTTGTATTTTAATTAGAGACAAGGTTTCGCCACGTTGGCCAGGCTGGTCTCGAACTCGTGACCTCAGGTGATCTGTCCGTTCTCCCCCCCCGCCCCCCGCCCTCAGCCTCCCAAAGTGCTGCGATTACAAGCTTGAGCCACTGCGCCTGGCCTTTTTTGCATTTTTTTTTTTTTTTGAGACGAAGTCTCGCTCTGTCACCCAGGCTGGAGTGCAGTGGCGCAATCTCAGCTCACTGCAAGCTCCGCCTCCCGGGTTCACGCCATTCTCCTGCCTCAGCCTCCCGAGTAGCTGGGACTACAGGCGCCCGCCACTACGCCCGGCTAATTTTTGGATTTTTAGTTGAGATGGGGTTTCACCGTGTTAACCAGTATGGCCTTGTGATCCACCTGCCTCGGCCTCCCAAAGTGTTAGGATTAAGTAGATACCAGGTTTCACTGTGTTGATCAGGCTGGTCTCGAACTCCTGACCTCAAATGATCTACCCATCTTGGCCTCCCAAAGTGCTGCGACTACAGGCATCAGCTACCACATGTGGCCAAAATATTTATATTTTGATGGACATAGTTCCCCAATTTTTTCCTGTGTGTTTGTGTTCATTTTAAGGAATGGTTGATCACATTCAAATAGATTCGAGTTTAGAAGTAAGAAATGAAACCACAAAGAAAAAGATAGGCTTCAGTAAAATGCACATAAATTAAAATTTCTATACAGCCCACTTCCTTGAAGGAATTTAAATGTGGACAGATTGGAGGGGAAACATTTGCAGCAAAAATCATAAGTAGAAGGAAACAAGGTTAAGTACACAGTGCAGTAGCCATTTAGGAAAGTTATAAGCCATTTAAATGCCACATATAAGGTGTTTTTGATGATAGAAAAAAATCAAAGTGTAAAGGGGAATACAAAATTACATGTGTACTGTGGTCACATCTGTATTGTTCTGTGTATGGAAAACAGACTGGGGAGAAATAGCGTTAAGTCCTAATAGTAATTTTCTTTTTCTCCCTTTTCTTGTTTTTTCTTTTGCCTGTCTCCCTCAATATTGCATATCTTTTCCATTGAAAAGTATTGTATTATATATCTACCAACAAGACAATCGTTTCAGATTTTTTGGTTTTGTCTTCAAGGAACATTCTTCTGCATACAACTTCATACTTTTAAAATTCTCTGGCCTGGCTCAGTGGCTCATGCCTATAATCCCAGCACTTTGAGAGGCCGAGTCGAGTGGATCGCTTGAGGCCAGGAGTTCAAGACCAGCCTGGCCAACATGGTGAAACCCAGTCTCTACCAAAAATACCAAAATAATTAGCCAGGTGTGGTGGTGTGCACCTGTATTCCCAGCTACTTTGATGGCTGAGGCACAGGAATCACTTGAACCCAGGAGGCAGAGGTTGCAGTGAGCTGTGATCACCTCACTGTACTCTAACCTGGGCACCAGATTGAGACTTGTCTCAAAAAAAAAAAAAAAAAATTATTGGCTGGGCGTGGTGGCTCACACCTGTAATCCCAGCACTTTGGGAGGCCAAGGCGGGCCGATCACCAGAGGTCGGGAGTTTGAGACCAGCCTGACCAACATGGAGAAACCGCATCTCTACTAAAAATACCAAATTAGCCAGGTGTAGTGGCGCATGCCTGTAAACCCAGCTACTTGGGAGGCTGAGGCAGGAGAATTGCTTGGACCCAGGAGGCAGAGGTTGCAGTGAGCCAAAATCGCACCACTGCACTCCAGCCTGGGCAACAAGAGCGAAACTCCGTCTCAAAAAAAAAAAAAAAGAAAAAAACAAAACTTTACTTTGGATAAGTACTTAGAAATGGAATTTCCAGGTTAGCCACTAGATATTATTAATGGATTTAATATGAAAAACCTTTACTTGAGGATATATAAACCTTTAAAAGACAGGATCCCTATTCTTTAGTTATAAATAAAGCAGCATTTGTAAGGTAATCTTCAGAAAACAGCTGGGCGCAGTGGCTTAGGCCTGTAATCCCAGCACTTTGGGAGGCCGAGGCAGGTGGATCACGAGATCAGAAGATCGAGACCATCCTGGCTAACACGGTGAAACCCCGTCTCTATTAAAAACATACAAAAAATTATCCAGGCGTGGTGGCGGGCACCTGTAGTCCCAGCTACTCAGGAGGCTGAGGCAGGAGAATGGCGTGAACCCGGGAGGTAGAACTTGCAGTTAGCTGAGATTGCGCCACTGCACTCCAGCCTGGGTGAGAGAACGAGACTCTGTCTCAAAAAAGTAAATAAATACAAATTCAGAAAACATCAGATAATATCATATAAAGTCCTCCTGTTCATGCTGATGACATTGGATGGTCAGTTAAGGATGACGCTTCATTCTGTCCCCTGCAACCACGGTCCTGTCATGACTAAATGATACTGACCCTATGAGACCGCTGTGGATGTGAAAGCATTTCCTCAAGTTAGCTTTTTGGCCTGCTGGTTTTAATCTAATGATGGGATATCCAAAGTGAAACTAACGGAGTGAAATGATTGTGCATCTGTTGGGGGGGAATCAGAGACAGCTAGAGAAAGGGCGGACACCTGCTGAACTCATCTCTCCTAAGAGCGGAAGCGAGCAGCAGTGTTGCTAGCAGGGCTACTGCACATCTGTATACGTGGCTCCAATGGTTCTGACTTGTTTTTTTTTCCCAGTATGACCCTAATACATGGGGCAAGTTAGAAAATCAGAGTTGGCCGGGCGTGGTGGCTCACGCCTGTGATCCCAGTACTTTGGGAGCCAAGGTGGGTGGATCACTTGAGACCAGGAGTTCGAGACCAGCCTCGGCAACACAGTGAAACCCCGTCTCTACTAAAAATACAAAAATTAGCTGGGTGTGGTGGCAGGCGCCTATAATCCCAGCTTCAAGAGGCTGAGGTTGCAGTGAGCCGAGATCAGGCACTTCAGCCTGGGTGACAGAGCGAGACTGTCTCAAAGAGAAAAAAAAGGGGGGAAAGGAAAGAAAAGAAAATCACAGCTTGTTTGCCACTTGCAGCTAAAGCAACAACACACATGCACAAAAATTATTCAGTAAAAGCAAAACAGTTTTAATGTATCTTGAGATTTTGTTTTATATCCAAAGGAAGACTCTATCTTTTATGTTTGAACTACCCTTTGGAAAATGCCTTCTATATAACAAATGTTGTAATTCTCTTCTAATTGGACCTTGAGGTCTCTCAGGAGAATGGGTATAAACTCTAGTCTCACCCTAATGGGGCTCTAGGGGAGGGGCTTGTGGGTCTTTACAATAGCCTTTCACTGGACATTTATTTTTCCTGGCCAACAGCCTAATGCTTAAGTGTCTGACCCATGGCCAGGTGTCTCACAGGAAACTTGTTTATACTGGCAGATGCCTTGCAACTTTTGTGTGACCTGTGTGCAGTTTATTCCTACCATGATACCCACTCTTTTTTTTTTTTTTTTTGAGACGGAGTCTCGATCTGTCACCAGGCTGGAATGCAGTGGCGTGACCTTGGCTCACTGCAACCTCTACCTTCTGGGTTCAAGCAATTCTGCTGCCTCAGCCTCCCGAGCAGCTGGGACTACAGGTTCGCGCCACCACGCCCAGCTAATTTTTGTATTTTTAGTAGAGACGGGGTTTCACCATGTTGGCCAGGATGGTCTTAATCTCTTGACCTCGTGATCTGCCCGACTCGGCCTCCCAAAGTGTTGGGATTACAGGCGTGAGCCATCCAACTTGACCTTTTTTTTTTTTTTTTTTTTTTTG